TGGGCAACCCGGCCCCGGCCGCAGAACGTGCGCGCAGGTCGCGGCTGGGTCCGGGGCTCGGTGGCCTCGGTGGCCTCGGTGGCTCAGTGGCCGGCGTCCTCTGGCGGAGCCGTAGGGTCCCGGGGCCCGGGCCGCCCCGCCTGCTTTCCGCGCTGCGTCCGGGACACCTGGGGGCCCGGCTGTCTGTCCCGCCTGGGGCGGGCGCTGGACCCTCCTGCGCGCTCACTCGATCCGCACCTGCAGGCGGACGTTGAACATCACCGAGGCCACCACGTAGAAGTAGGGGAAGTTCATGCGCAGCCGCCAGGCCAGGTCGAAGAAGGTGAGCAGCGTGCGCGTGAGCCCCTTGCAGAAGGCGCTGTAGGAGCCGCGGGCCGCGGCCGAGCGCGACAGTCGTACAGCCAGACCCGACAGGGCCGCCGCCGCCGCCGCCACCGACAGAGCTGCGGACGCCGCCATGGGCCCTGCAGGCTCCCGCCACGCCGACCCGCAGGAGCTCCAGCGGGCGGCAGGTGGACCCGAGGCCGGGCGCCCTCTAGCCCCGCCCTCGGTCTCCTCCCAGGCTGGGCTTGGGTGGTTGTTACAGCAGCTGCAGTGGCAACCCTGCCCCTCCTCCGCTGCCCAAGAACAGCTAGGCCCTCTCGCCAGCCTAGCTCCGCCCCTATTCTAGCCACGCCCCTTACTGGGAGCCACAGAGCCCCTGCAGCGGGTTCACCGCAGGAGCACTGATGTGGATGCCCACAGGTGATGCCACAGTGCCTGCAAGCCCAAGCTCCTAATAGCGGAGCTAGAGAGCCTGAGCTAACTGGAAGGTGCTGCTCCCCTGGAGGGGTGTGGAGGGCTGGGGAGCGGGAGTGTCTGGACTGCTGTGCTGATTCTGTACAGAAGTCCCATCCGAAGGCCACACCTGTTCACACACCCCTGCCACTGTCTTTTACAGAGCTTTTGTAACCTTAGGAACATCATTTTACTACAGACTGCAACTCATCTACACCAGGGAGTTAACCAATATTAAAGAAACTCCAAGTTACTGCTTTCTAAGTAGAAAATCCTATCATCTGTAAAGAATGACAGTTTTCTACCTAGCCTTATATTGACTTTTGTTGCATTTCAAAGCCTAATTAAAACTTTCAGTCTCAGGGGCTTCCTTTGTCTTGATATTGATCTTAAAGGAGATGCTTTCAAAGTCTCACGCTGGATAGTTCTTATTCCAGATATATGTCTTGCTAATTCTCTTTCTTCATGTCCTTGCTCAACTATTATTTTCCTAATGAACCTTACTCTGAGTATTACCCTATTCTAAAATACTACTTGCCACCCCTCCCCAGCACATTGGAACTTCCTTTCCTGGTATACTTTTCCATAGCACTTATTAATTTCCAACATACTATACATTTTACTTATTAATTGCTTTATCATCTACTTTTTCCTCAAGCCATGAGAATGTTAGTTCTCCATGGACCAAAGTTTTTGTTTTCCTATTCACTGATTTATTTCAAGTGCTCAGGAGAGTGTTAGTCAGCACTCAATAAATATTAATTAAATGAAGGAATAAATGGAAAATATTTGGCAGAGTAACTGGCTGGCATAATAATATAAGCACTCAAAAAATGGTAGTAATGATTAAGAAAGAATTCCATGATAAATTACCACTGGGCTCCGTAAAAGGCATTGGCCAGCCCTAAAATGTTACCTACCCACAAAAACTCC